GATTCTCTTGCCTCAGCCTCCCAAGTAGCTGGGACTACAGGCGCCCGCCACAACGCCTAGCTAACTTTCATGGAGTTTTTCAACAGCAGCACATTGACATTTGAGGCCAGATAATTCTTTGTTGTGGGGAACAAAAGTTGCCCCCCTTTGAGAACCGCTACTCTCCTAGGCTGGCGGCAGCTTTGGTGCGGTATGTGATGAAACAGTGGAGCCGTGGTCTTGTGCTCCTTGCTACACCTCTAACGGGTGCCCTGACCTATGGTACTGGCTGGGTCCTGCTGGCGGGAAAGACAAATCCAGGCTCAGAATGTATCCCTTCCAGTCAAGGCAAATTGCTACCCCTTCCCAGGTGGAAGGGGTCCCAGTGCAGTCAGCTTAACTACCAAGTGACTGGTTAGTTTCAAGAGATGACCCAGTATTCGGGTCTCAGCATTAGCCTCTGTTGCTGTCAGGATGGGCTTTCAATGGCAGCCGCAGCTAAATCAGCCTTGATGAGTACAAACCCATGACACTGGGTGTAGGCGTATCCTCTGTCCTGCCGCCATGAGTTGTCTTGCGAGCCCATCATGCCAGCACCAGCACAGCGGAGATAGTTGAGTCAATTGGCTGAATTGCCCTCTTGTTTGCTGCTGCCTCTTCTGGTTGATGGCTGGCTGGTAGGAATCAGGATGTGATAACATGGAATACTGCAATCTTCACACTTTGTGCCCATGCCCGTGGCTCCATCTATGTGGCATTGCCCCTGAATTCTTTGTCCCCAGTCTCCCAATATTTTTCCTTTCAGGGCCCTAACCAGCCAGTGAACAATTCTCTAGTCTCCATGCTCTGGGTCTCTATATAATCTTACCTGAGCCACTTCTTTTCCCATATGAAATGGGTGACCAGATGCACCACCAGACACAATGCCTGTGGAAGAATTTCCTCTCATCTCTGTCTTCCAGGGCTGTCGCTGGGTGAGGCTGCAGTGCAGACGCCTTCCATTTTCCACTCTTACATACCAAACCAAATCCTCCATAAGGCAAGTTTGTTCTTTGTCCTCCTGCAGAAGCCTCCACGTAACCGTATACATGAGCCAACAGAGAAGCACTAGAGCAGAGCGGTGGATGTTACGGGGTCTTGGCTTCCTGTAGCCTCCTGCAGAAGCCTCCACGCCCACAGTCTGAGCCTGGGTTTGTCTTTCCTGCCAGCAGGACCCAGCCAGTACCATAGGTCACGCCCCGGCCTTGCTCTGCTCAGTGCTGGTGCACCTCTCCGGTCTTAGGATGGGTTGCTGCTGACCCTGCCTGACCTCATGACATGGTGGGTCTGACATCACAGATCCCAGCTCATGATGGGCAGCCCTCTTTTTTTGAGACAGCCTCACTCTGTCACCCTGGGTAGAGTGCTATGACATCATCATAACTCACAGCAACTTCAGTCTTTTCAACCTAAGTGATCCTTTTGCCTCAACCTCCCAAGCAGCTGGGACTGTAGGCACCCACCAGCACACCTGGCTAGTTTTTCTGTTTTTAGTGGACAGGGTCTCACTCTTGCTCAGGCTGGTCTCAAACTCCCAAGCTCAAGCAACCTACCCACCTCAGCCTCCCAGGGAGCTAGGGTTATAGGCATGAGCTACTGCGCCCAGCCATGATAGGCAGGCAGTTCTTAATGCATGGTGATTTGATACGGCATGGTCACAAGGTCCATCTCTACTAGGACCGAGTATCCATGGGCTGATTTCAAACTGTGTGTGTAGATGGCGTGGCCTTGCTGCAGATCCGCAGCTGTCCACATTGTGATTCTCAGGGTGGGGCTCACTGTAAGCTTCACGTAGCTTCTCTTTACACTGCAGTTGCCTTTAGAACCATGGAGTCTTCTGGATCATGTAGCCCAAGTGGCAGGGCTGATTACACTCCTTCCTGGACCTATTGCAGAGTTCCTTCTGCTCTGGGCCCCTCACAAAGCTGTCATCCTTCCATCTCCCTGGGTAAATGGGTCTGAGCCTTATTCCCAAGCGTGATGAAAGGCATGAGATGATGCAGTCAGTTGACATTTACTTTGGAGGGAATCCCAGCATGCTGCAGACCACTTCATCCCTAAAAACTTCTCTGATATGGGTGGCACCTGTGGCTCAAAGGAGTAGGGTGCTGACCTCAAACCCAGCCCTGACCAAAAACTGCAAAAAAAAAAAAAAAAACTTCTCCGATATGGGTGGCACCTGTGGCTCAGTGGGTAGGGTGCTGGCCGCATATACCGAGGGTGGTGGGTTCGAACCCAACCCAGCCAAACTGCAACAAAAAAATAGCTGGGTGTTGTGGCAGGCGCCTATAGTCCCAGCTACTCTGGAGGCTGAGGCAAGAGAATCGCCTAAGCCCTGGAGTTGGAGGTTGCTGTGAGCTGTGACACCAAGGCACTCTACCAAGGGTAATAAAGTGAGACTCTTATCTCTAAAAAAAAAAAAACCTCTGATACAGTAGGCTTCTGAGACTTCATAGGGTTTCTCTTGGGTATCTCCTGCCCTCTGAAATGCGTATTTATGCCAAGACCTCCCATGTTCTTGCTCCTTATTGCTCACCAGGTAACAGTAACAATACATTGTTGACGGAGTAGACAGAGATGATATTATACAGAATGTCCAGTCTGTTTGCTCCACGATGCCATCTTAGAGTCTGCTTTCTAGAACCACGTCTGACACCAATTGTGAAAGATAAGGATTGAGCAGGTTTGAGACAAAGGCTTCCTCAGATCCTGTGGTGGTGCTGTGAGCATAGGCCTTCAGCATTGTCTCACTCGAGGCAAAGAGGCCAGGCTTTGTACTGCGAGACTTTCCAGTTATTGGATACAGACAGCTCAGTTTAGCTCAGAACAGTTTTAGGAAGGACCCTGGAAAAAGAACTCAGCCACTTCCCCAGCAGCTCGCAGAATGAGAAGCTCTCCTGAAACACAGACCTGCGTGTGTGTCTAGCAGCATCTACTCACAGGTGCATGCCTGCTTCTTTAAAATACGAGGTTTATTGACTTATGACTCATATGCCATAGAGTCAGTGCTTTTGGTGGCATGTTCAGAATTGTGCAACCATCACCACAGGGTAATTTTAGAGCTTGTCTTTCACTCCAAAAAGATACCCCGTACCCATTAGCAGGACCCAGCTCTTCTCTGCCCCCAGGCAACCATTAGTTTACCTTCTGTCTCTACGGACTTGCCTGTTCTGGACATTCCATATAAATGGAATTGTACAATATATAATCTTTTTCATATCTGCTTTTTTAAAATTGGCACATAATTATATCCATATCGGTTTTTAAAACGTAATTTGACTTTCATAGATTAACTGAATGCTTTCACTTTCATGTTTTTCTTTTTTAATTTTTTTTGTTTGTTTTTACAGACAGACTGTATTTTTGTTTTAGAGTCTCACTCTTTTGCCCAGGCTGGAGTGTCATAGTGTCAGCCAAGCTCACAGCAACCTCAAACTCCTGGGCTCAAGGGATCTTCTTACCTCAGCCTCCCAAGTAACTGGGACTACAGGCACCTACTACAGTGCCCGGCTAGTTTTTCCTTTTTTTGTGGAGACGGAATCTCACTCTTACTCAGGCTGGTCTCAGACCTCAAGGGATCCTCCCCCCTCGGCCTCCCAGAATGCTAGGATTCACTTTCGTGTTTTAATAAGAATTAGGAATAATAAAAGAGTAAAGAACAATTAGATAGAATTTGTCAATTTATTTGATCACGTCACCCAGTATTTTGTCTTTATACACAGGCTTTCAAGTAGAAATTTCAGTGCTGCCTTTTCTTTTCTTTTTTTTGAGACTGAGTCTCAAGCTATTGCCCTGGTGTAGAGTGTGGTGGTGTCACAGCTCACAGCAACCTCAAACTCTTGGGCTTAAGTGATTCTCTTGCCTCAGCCTCCCAAGTAGCAGGCACCCACCACAATGCCCATTTATTATTTGGTTGTAGTTGTCATTGTTTGGTAGGCCCAGACTGGATTTGAACCTGCCAGCTCTGGTGTTTGTAGCTGGCACCCTAGCCACTGAGCTACAGGCACTGTACCACAGTGCCACCTTTTCAAGAGAAAGCAGTGGCGAATACTAGTTTCTAATTACTGATGTCTGATGCATAGTTTTATATATGTTTTATTTCTGTAGTTATCTTTCAGCAATGTAATGTATTTTAGGATATGTTGGGAACAGAAACCACTGGCATAGCTTACTTCTTTTTAACAAGCAACGACAACGAAGTTGTATTGATTCAATTATTTGTTGGCTCGGCACCTGTGGCTCAAGTGGCTAAGGCGCCAGCCACATACACCTGAGCTGGTGGGTTCAAATCCAGCCTGGGCCCGCCAAACAACAATGATGGCTTCAACCAAAAGCCGGGCGTTATGGCGGGCGCCTGTGGTCCCAGCTACTTGGGAGGCGGAGTCAGAGGACTTGCTTGAGCCCAGGAGATGGAGGTTGCTGTGAGCTGTGATGCCATGGCATTTTACCCAGGGGCATAACTTGAGGCTCTGTCTCAAAAAAAAAAAAAAAAAAAGATTGATCTTGTCATCAATATATCGTACAGGTTGTAAAATACAGCATGGTACATATAGTAAAAGGCTCTAGCAGAAGAAGACACAAGATCAGGTCCCATTTTCTTCTCTTGACCGTATGATCCTAAGCGTGTTACTCAGTCTCTGCATTTAAAATGGGCGGGGTAATATGAGTGCCTGGGTTCAGTTAAGATTACAGCCTCATTTCTTTTGACTACTGGATTTAAGACAAATAAATGTTTTAAAACAGAAAGTCACAATTGATCCTTGAAAGAAGTCTGTGGAAGTTGAATATCTTGGAAAAAGAATAGTCCTTTTTGAAGAGACTTAGACTCCTGAACACCTACACATTCAGTCAGAAAGCAGGCCCACGGCCTGACCGGGGGTGGGTGTGTGCATGTTTGCGTGATTTGGAGTGGAAGCCCTGTTGTCTTTGAATATTTATAGAATCCAAAGCACTTCCATAATCATCTTTCTTTTTTCCCTCAGATAGATAAAAGCCCAGAAGGACAATTTACTCAGCTGATGACATTGCCAAAAACCTTACAGCAACAGATAAATCATATCATGGACCCTCCTGGGAAAAACAGAGATGTGGAAGAAACTCTGTTCCAAGTTGCTCACGACCCCGAATGTGGAGATGTGGTGCGACTAGGTGTGTTTATGAACTTGACATTGAGGAAATAGATGCTGTCTGTGGTGGAAGGCAGACTTCATTTGTCACTGAGAGGTACTATTTCTTCTTGCCTAGCAAGATTGAGAGAGAAACTGCCTCTAGGAAGAAGAGAGCCCTAAAAATTTAGGGTTTTCCAGATCTAAGTTTGAACTTCTTTGAAGTAAGGTGGTGGAAATTCTTCTATTTTCACATTCCTGGATCCTAATCCTAAATCACTGTCAAGGGAAGAAACAATGTTTCTTTTGGTTCTAAGAGCATAAGTTCTAGAATTTATTTAAAAGATGTGTCTGTGGGGCGGCGCCTGTGGCTCAGAGGAGTAGGGCGCTGGCCCCATATGCCAGAGGCAGCGGGTTCAAACCCAGCCCTGGCCAAAAACTGCAAAAAAAAAAAAATGTGTCTGTGTTCTTGGTGATCTGAGAAGAAAAGAATGGTGACATTTTTAATGTCTGTATAACCTCCAAAGCACAGCTTTCCTCAGCTCTGGATGTAGACGTGTCTCATGCAGTATTTAGCAAGTTCCCTCTGACACAGCCCGTGTTCCGTGGCGTCTTCCCTGGCACCTCCCCAATGTTTATCCAAAACTCTGAACCTTATCTTTAGAGACCCTCTTCCCTTTGAGGTGCTGAAGGTAATTTACCAGGTCAGTCAATAAAGAAAGAAGTAGGATATTGAGTTGGCACCCTCCCCCCAATAAGTGTATTCTCTCCTGTTTTCATTCCATGAATATTTACTGAGCTTGGCCAGACGCAGTAGCTCACACCTGTAATCCTGCGCTTGGGAGTCTGAGGCGAGTGGTTTGCCTGAGCTCACAAGTTGGAGACTAGCCTGAGCCAGAGGAAGACCTTGTCTCTAAATATAGCCAGGCATGGCTCGGCGCCTATATAGCTCAGCAGCTAGGGCACCAGCCACGTACACCAGAGCTGGCAGGTTCAAACCCAGTCTGAGCCTGCCAAACAATAATGACAACTATGACCAAAAAATAGCCGGCGTTATAGCAGGCACCTATAGTCCCAGCTACTTGGAAGGCTGAGGCAGGAGAATCAGTTAAGCCCAAGAGTTTGAGGTTGCTGTGAGCTATGATGCTACGGCACTCTACCAAGGGCGACAAAGTGAGACTGTCTAAAAAAAAAAAAAAATGTGGGCGGCGCCTATGGCTCAGTGGTAGGGCTCCGGCCCCATATACTGAGGGTGGCTGGTTCGAACCCAGCCCTGGCTAAACTGCAACAACAACAAAAAAGAATGTACTGAGCTCCTCGAGGGCACCAGCCACTGTGCTGGATGCATTTTACAGCTACAATTTTCAACGTGAAACTGCCATTGAACATCAGCCACAGCAGGCTGCTCTCCCATCTCTCTCAGGATCTGCCCCAGGTTGTCAGAGTGGATGTTCAGGTCACCAGCTTCCTATTCTGAAGACCTATACAGGACACGCTGTCGACTAATGGTGGTAGCTTATTTTAAACTGATCCTGGCAATGGTGTGAGTCCTGCTCTCTCTTAAGGAGATGAGAGACTTGCCCTGTTGCCCTTCCCTGGGGAATCCTGCCTGTGCCCTGTCGGAAGAAAGGTTTCTCTCAAACATTGGGGTTTTTTATCTCTTTGCATCTTAAAATTGAGAGCCATGAGTCTTAAGCAGATTTAAAGTCATAAAATGCCCTTTGAGGGTTGCCTAGCTCCAACCTCCTTGTTTTGAGGGAAGGAGGCCCAGGCCAGGGCTGTCCAGTCATTTGCTTGCATTCACACAGCCGGTGGTGCCGCAGCTGGCCGCGCCAGTCTCTCACCTTCGGTCCTGACGCTCTTCCCACTATCGCCATGTGACACCAAGACAGAGACAGATCTGCTGGTTTTATTGACTGACTAGAATATTTTGTTTCAGATTTTGAAACCTGCTAAGATGACCGACATCTGTTTGTTTTTTTTCTCACAGGGCTTTCAGCAATCGTGAGGCGTTCTAGTATAAGACAGAGCACCAAAGGCATCTTTACTGCTGGTAAGAGCTCTGCTGGATTGAGTTGTTTTGATGCTTTGGTTAAAATGGGAAGCTTTATCTGTATCTTTCTAAGTGCTTGCAAAATGCTGAGTTTTAATGGTCATAAACTAGGATATTGCAAATAACATACTAGAAACTGGCATCACAGCAGCAAAATCTGGTAGTCTAACAAAAGCAGACCATTTGAGGCCCGGCTGGACATCCTTACTGCTCCTCTAAACTTTCTCAGTAACTCCTCGTGTGAGTGTTTTCCTCCCATCTTTATGTGTAGCCAGCGCACAGCATAGCAGAAACAGCGTTACCCGGGCTCCCTCCCTTCTCCCTCTTCAGAGATAGCTGCTCGTAGTGGGTCGTTTCTGTTGTTGCTGCCATTTCTCTAAATAACTTTGGACTGCTCCTTCTCTGCTTTTCAACCTGAGGCATCAGCTATTGATTGCACCCTATGGGGGGTTAGAATTCCACTCTCCTGCTCACCTTCAGACCTTACCCTCACCCTCCCAGCGCTCCAGCTTCCTAACGTAGTTTCTCCCCTTTCTTTCCAACGCCGGGTATCATCCGGCAGCTGCCTTTCCAGGCTTCCTTCATGTATCCGTCTGTTGAGCATGTTTCGTGTGCTGCCACTCAGGATGCAGAGGAGGGCACAGCACCATGCTGCCCTCCAGGGATTCTCCTCTAGAAGGGGAGAGAGAGATGTCAACACAAATTGCAGTACAGGGGGAGAAATGGCACAGCGGTAACCCAAAAAAGAGAGTGACCTTTCAACCTGATTCTGATCCCTAGGTTAGGGAACTGGTGTTGTCATACTTTATTTATTTATTATTTACTGAGACAATTTTACTCTGTCACCTGGGTAGAGTGCTGTGGCATCATAGGTGACAGCAACCTCAAACTCTTGGGCTAAAGGGGTCCTCCTGCCTCAGCCTGCTGATTACCTGGGACTCGAAGTGCTCACCACAGTGCCCAGCTAGTTTTTCTATTTTTAGTAGAGATAGGGTCTGGCACTTGCTCAGGCTGGTCTTGAACCCCTGAGCTCAAACATCCACCTGCCTTGGCCTTCCAGAGTCCAGGGATTACAGGTGCAGTGAGCCACTGCACTCAGCCTTAATCGTAGGTTTTAAGTTCTCCCAGCTCAGCTGCTTGGATACCCATGGGAGCATTTGGCCCCTATAGACACAGTGTTGCCCTCCTGAGTCTTTGGGAAATTTTAACAAAGATTTAATAGTACTTGTGCCAAATCTACTGAAGTAGAGGCTTTTTTACCACTTAGGAGTGCATGGCTTTGCATTTCCAATGAAGACATTGATCTCTGTTTCTGCTGCTTCATCATGGCAGGACTGAAGATGAGGTGTTGTTTGCTTGTGTGATTCAGGTTAATCCGCTGTTTGCATGATTGCCTCTCCCTTGTCGTGGTCCTCCTTGCTTGAGGCTTGTTTTTTTTTTTTT